TGGAATTCCTGGGTTTGTTAAGCATCTCATATGTTTACAGGTTGTTGTATTTCTTTGGTGGTCAAGAGGATAAGGAAAGCTTTGCAGCACTCTCTTAGTTTCAATATATTTTGAAGCTAAGACATGGCAGAAAAAGCATGTGTAAAGCGCCTTCAGAAGGAATATAGAGCACTTTGTAAAGTACGTAACCTTTTAGTTGCTGGTTATTGCTCTACATTTGAAGCATTACCAGATACTTTATTTCAGTCTATAGTTATTTGCAACGCATGTAAACTAAGATTAGTAATTGTTAATTATGCGATGGTGGGTTCTTGCTTCCCTCCACACCATTGCTAGGCCTGAAGATATGCAAGTTGTGTGCTTAAATTCCTGTCATATCTTGGAGAATGTTTTACTTCATGGACTTACTCATGTTTGATGACGTCCTCCTATGCCTTCTATGGGCTAGACTATTCTACACCATGCAAATTTAATTATGTTGTACAACACTCTAAGGTAGTGATGCATTCTCCATTGCAGGAACCTGTTTCCCATGTTGTGGCCCGCCCTTCTCCGAATGATATCCTTGAGTGGCGTGAGTCCTACTTCTGCTCATGTTCTTGCAGTCAATTATGGAGTAAAATTGTCTCTTAACAAATGAACTTTTTTTCTTTATTCTTTACAAGTAAAGTAAGTTTATGAAAATGTAGCAGTATTTCTAATTAATATAACTGACTGGACTTATTTGCAGGGAGTGGCCCTCCTTTTGTTTTCCTTTTTTTTCCTTTGGTTTCTCTTGATCAATTAATTCGTCAATTGTTTGCTTTGATATTACTAATGGTTCTACTTCTATCTAAACTGTGTGTCCAGATTATGTTTTGGAGGGGAGTGAAGGAACGCCATTTGCAGGTCGCTACTTTTTTCTGAGTTCAGTATTTAAATTATTGGATTAGCTGATATTGTTGGGTGATAGCACTCTCGTTCCTCCAACCCGTCTTCCTGTCATTTTTGTATATTTGTTATTCTTCTGGAATTAACTTATGCTCCTTTTGTTGTTGTTCATGAAATGATACCGCTTCCTATCATTAGGTGGATTTTATTATGGGAAGATCAAGTTTCCTCCAGAATATCCGTTTAAACCTCCAGGGATCAGGTAGTCTAACTTCAGATGAGTTTGAAATTCCCTTGCTTGTTTCAACTCTCCAACCTAGGTTGTCTCCATGCTTTTGAGGGTTTTGTTCCTGCTGATTTTTACAGCACATATGTTTTCTTTTTCTGTAGTATGACTACTCCAAACGGAAGATTTATGACACAAAAGAAAATCTGCTTATCTATGAGTGACTGTAAGTGCTTTTAGAATTGCCTAATTGTCACAGTTTTCTGTTGCTTTGTGATGATCTTTGTCTGTTCTTAACCTTTGTTGCCTTATTTCTTCACAGTCCATCCAGAGAGCTGGAATCCAATGTGGTCTGTGTCAAGGTAATGAGTTGCAAACAATAAATAATGCTTATTTGTCTGGCAATACTTTCTTTAGTGCCTGTTTGGTAACCAATAAACCTTGTCTGGTTTTGTTTTGTAGTGACTAGGAAAATCAAATCATTGTTGCAAATTTTTTTAAAAAAAGAGTTTATGTTTTTGTTTCTGCCATGACAAGGAAATATATATCACTCTTTCCACTTTTAAAAGCAAACATTATTTCTTAACGAAGAGGTTATATGTGTTTTCACTTATGAATTTTTTTGTTTTCAGGACCACTCCTCTGTATCTCCCTGCCACCTGAGACCCACCTCACTGCACTCCAGACTCCCCCCCCCTCACCCCACCCCACCCCACAAACAGATGCCCTATCCCCAGGCTGCCAGTCCCTCTCTTTTGCTCCACTTTAGCTTAAACCTGTGCCCCGTCTCCCTCCTTTTTAAAGTCCCATTCACTCATTCCATGTAAATTTGCTTGAATTAATTCGTTTGCCTACCAATTTTCTTCTCTTTCAACGACAAAGGCAAACTACTCTCAATTCCAAGTTGGAGTCAATGATATGAAATCTCAAACACCATCTGCTCAGTTGCACAACATGTGTGTGTACTTTGTTATAAATATTTTATTATTGTTTTTTTTTGTTTAACATGTTTCTTATTTCTTGTTGAAACAAATTAGCAAAAACATGTCTATTTATTCTTACAGCTAAAATGAGATGTTTTTTTCTTCTTTGCTCGGGCTAACTTTTCCCTGTTCTGCATGCAGCATACTAACAGGGCTGCTCTCATTTATGGTAAAGTTCGTTCTACTAATGCAGCTTATAATGACTCCTGGTGTTCCCATTTCATCTGCTTATGTATTTTCAGATCATGCTTTATTTACTTTGTGCTTTTCCTTTTATGAAAATGTTATTTCTTTTGCATGTGTCTGGACAATTGAGTTCTATCTGTCTCTGTGCACGGAAGCCCTGGTAGAGGTTGAGGACAATCTGAAGTCATCCCATCACATTAAAGATCATTTGAGCTATAGCATAAAAGCTACCTCTGAGTGGTATAGGAGAAAAGAAGGGAGTCTGGTAGTTGGTGAAGTTTCCCCATACTTTCCCTTTGTGGCTCTACGTCTGCCTACCAAGAAAAGTATTCTAAACTTCCATGTTCTATCACCTCTATGATGATGTCCTCTGCCAGTTTATATGATCTTCGCCCTCAAATTATCTAATATTTCCATCTAGCCTCACTGTCCAAAAAATGCACAAAGGGACTGTTCTCCAAACTTCTCTATGCTTCTTGTCTATCTTTTGACCCTTCCATCTGATGGCTGCTTTACTCAGACCAGCTGGCATGAACACCAAAAATATTCAGAAACATGAACCAATTCTCCGATTTCTATCAGCAGTTACGAATAGGTGGTTTACTGATAAGTTGATTGCTTGCTCAGATAACCTTTTCTTCATTTGTTGAATCATTTCTTTTTGCAAAGTATGTTGGGGTTTGAACATGCATTACATAATACAGTTGCTATCTCGCGTTCTAACTATCTATTACTTGCAGATGGACAATAGTCCTACCACAGGCAGTGTATCAACAACAGTTGCTGAGAAGGAGAAGCTTGCAAAGGCATCCTTGGCTTTTAATTGTAAAAAGTGAGTTGACTGCGAGTTCCTTGCTGTTGTGTTGTATTTGTATAATTGCCTCGAGCTTTTGTCTCCACTGTTCAAGATCTCCTGCATGAGAGATGGATATGCTATTTTACCGTGTGTATTTTCCTTTATTACGTTTTTATTAGGTAGGAGGGTAACTTACTCTATTTTTTTATTTTTTTTATGATAGCCCAACCTTTAGGAAATTGTTTCCCGAGTATGTGGAGAAGTATGAACAGCAGCAGCTTCCGTCGCAGCCAGTTCCAGAGCAGGTATCATCCATGCCAGCTGGAGCAGAAAAGTCTAGACCCTTGTTGGAAGAGCATGAAAATTCCACAAAGGACGAAGTGAACAGAGTGAAGCCTCTAAAAGACGTCAAAAACCAACAGAGGAAATCTGTCCCAACTTGGTTGTTGCTGTTGCTAGTTTCAATTTTTGGTGTTGTAATGGCCTTGCCTCTGCTTCAGCTTTGATGACTGGAATCTTGTTTTGTGCACTACGGTGAAGAACAGACCACCCCATATCACATGGATACGTAGTCATCCCCGCTCCTGGTTCCTGTTATTTCACCTAATATTATAGGTTTTTGATTTACCTAGGGGGAATGTATAGGCATGACTCTTAAGTGGAGATCTAACTAATCTCTTAATCTAGCTAATGGGCTTCTCTTTCCTATTGTGCACGTCAGTGGAAAGATAACATAATGTGCTTTTATTGTGAAGGGCTCAGAGTTGCAGGAGCTAATCCTTTCCTTCTGCTTTGTCTGTTTATAGTTCGCAAATGTGGGTTTATTCTTCTTCGTTTTGGTCTTTTTTCTTTTTTTTCCTATTTTTTTCAGGGAGGGGAAGAGGTATATATAATATATGTGTAGTTATAGGCTTGACAAGTGAAGTTGAAAGGTCTAGTAAAAGTATGCAACCTGTCATTACTAATGCTTTCCGTGGTGCCGTGTTTGATGAGCTATTCCGTATAGCTGACTAAACCAATTATTTTTCACTCGTGACTGGTTTATACTTGTTCACTAAAATCTGAGGTTTTTCGTTATGGGAAACGGAGACTTATCAATCAATCAACTAAATTTGAATGGTAGATCAATGAAAAGAACAATCAATTTTATGTAAAGAGAAATGAAAATCCAATATAGTCTAAGCCATGCTTGAAAGTTGAAACCCATGACTACTGGCATGATGATGTTAACCCCTCTTTTCACGTTGCCTTGTCGTCCACTAGGTAATAATAAAACCTTTCGCCTAAAACTCCACTCCAAAAATTGCGCCGTAAAATTTCACATCTTAATACAATCCATTTTATATTTATTACTTACCTACTCTATAGTTTATACAGTGGAGACGTGGTGAAATCGTACGTTAACAAAAAGGTTGCCTTTATTCCCTGCTTTTGCTATTTAATTACTCTCTGAGATATGATTACGTCTCTCTCACTCTTGTTACCAACATTAATTTCTTCATGAATTCAAATCTTCACCTCACTCCAGAAAAGCTCAAGAGTCAACTGCTACAGCACTTTGTTTCCTTAGGTATGTATGTACCTTTATGAAATTGTAAAAAAGAAAAAAAATCCATACTCATCGATTTTTCTTTTTTAAATTACTGAGAGTGTTATTTAGGTCTCTGTAGTGATGGTGACAGTGTGATCCATTTCAACCAATAAAAACAGTTGCTTATGCTGATCCTTCCTTTCATTGTTAAGCATTGGTAAATATAGCTTTCCTTAACTAATCCAATTTATCCAACCACCAGTTTTTTCATACACAACTCTCATGGGGATATAGAAAAGCCTTAGCTGGCCTTTCCATCTTTATTTTTTTTTAAAAGTACCTTTTCTCATTTGGAATCTACTATTATTAGGGGAGCCCTCATACTTTCTGCAATGAACAAAATGTATAGGCATGATTTGTAAGACTTGATGAAAATTTTCACTTCACATGGCTCAAACTTGAACCTGCATTTTGAAATTCCAGGGAGCAAAATATGAACAAGTTTCCCATATACCCAAAATATGAAGGTGGGGACTATTGTGGCTACGAGTTTGATCCTCACACAGACTTTACGGATGTAAGTCAATTGTTTTTTTGCCTTATATCTTCAACTCATATAAAGTTTTTATCTTTTATTCAGTGGTGGAGGCATAGTTTCCAATAAGTGATTCAACATTTTTTTACTTTATACACCCCAAAAAAAAAAGGAATTAACCTTGGTATATACAATGTACCTGTCGCCCTGCTTTGTTCACAACATCACTACAGTGTATATTATTATGTATTTATATGATAGTATAGGTGACTTTTAGAGATTTGAATATGTTGTTACTGTAGTTAGCTTATTCTCTTTGTGTATTAATATCATTGTATTCTTTGAGTAATGAGATAAGTTACTCCCCACTTTGTCTATACATGATATCAGTCATATGTCTATCCCCATTTTGATATCCGATCCATGATCCAGTTGGGTTGAGTCAGGCTCAAGTGGGTATTAAATGTTGAACCTTTAATTTTTGAAAGTGCTGTAGATTTAGTGGTAAGACACTCAATAGTTGAACCGTCAAGTTTATATTCTGAATCCGTTTCTCATTACCAGCTAGATGACATTTGATGATTTATGACTTGCGCATTTTACAGTTCTTGTCAGAAGCGAGAAAGCATGTATCTGAAGTGAAACTCAGTGCTACACCTCCACGTTCTGTGGAACTGAGAAACAACAATTTTGGAAATGATGTTAAGAAAACTTGCAAGAAGTCATGGAAAAGCTCTCTGTTTTCATGGCTGAAGACTGATAAGAAGAAGAATCAGGGGAGCAGAGAAACTTCAAAAGGCTCTACCATTAACAAGCTGAAGCGTGGATGTGTCTCTGGTCCATTGCCGGGGATCAGCGGGCCAGGTACTATAGCTGGAAGGCCCAATAAGCCTTTATCTGGGCCCTTAACATATCTGTTCAGTCCAATGAACAGAGTGGACAATGAAATACCTTATCTCTGTCTTCACAAGGTTAAGAATAGTACTCCTGATGTTCAATCTTATGGACCTGTTTATCTGGTAACTTAAGATTGCAAAAGGGTAGGTTTAATTTAGCAGAGACTACAGGTATGTGTGAATCTATGTGTACTAATTTCTGTGAGGTGAATGCAAACAAATATCATATGCAAAAAAGAATTTGCATTTGTTGCAAGGAACAGGTTCTTTTTTTCATCATCACATGCTAGTCTAGGAATAGGTTCTGAATTCACCCATGATTTTGGAGTTTAGAATTTGAATAACATCAACATCAACATTTTGTTTGACGAATTTCAGGAAAATCAGACACACTCATAATGCTTCATTTTTACTGCAGCTATATCATAAACAACATGTTTACTGCAAACTACTCTCAAATTTCAACCAAATATTGTCCAAACGCCTGCATGATATTTCGAGTAAGCCGTACAATGAATTGTAGAAACCATACAACAAATGAACACTCACATTAATAACAAAAAGATTCCTAATACTCTCCTGTAAGAGAAGATAGATTCCCCTCAATTCTCAAACAGAGAAGCCCCTTGGCCCTAGCAATTTGTTTTACACATATACAATACATAGACATCTAAAGATTGCACACAACTTCTCATCTGCATCAAGAATCAATCAATTAACTTTAACCTAGTAAATTATATAGTTCCTAAGATTCCACTCCTCTCCAAATTCAAGAGGTGTAACAATCTCTAGCTCTGGCCCCTGCTTCCTTGTTCTACATCTACATTTCTGGGACTGCAAGGATTCAAACTGCTAAAAAGCCTCGTTAAAGATCTCAATCGTGTCGGTGTAGGTGTTTTCTGTTCTTCTTCTGCCTCTTCACTATTTTGTCTTGGAATATCAATCATCAAAACCCCATCTGGCCTACTAGTACTTGTGGATGCTGATGATGTAGTAGTTTCATCTCCCCAGAACAGAACATTAGTTGGTAAATTTCGTGTCTCTGTGGAAGCTACTGAGCCTTCTTCTACTGGTGCCCTAATGGCCCCGGAATTTGATTCTACAATGATGGACTTCGTAGAGGACATTTCTGAAACAGGGTTTCGGCATAAAGGACAAGTGGAATGAGATTGAAACCACATATCAATGCAATCGACATGAAACCCATGATTGCATTTAGGCAAAAGTCTCGCCTTTTCACTTTCACAGACTTCGCTTAGACAAACTGAGCATTCCAATCCATCTTTAAAATCCTTGGTATCAAATGGAATTACGGGTATGGTTTTAAGGATTGAACGGTCAAGGCCTCCCCGGAGTGCATTCACTTCCTGATAACCACCGGCGAAGTCGAACCGGCGGCGGCGGCGACGCCTTGTGTCGTCATTCGGGTTGGCGTCCTCTCTCGTGAAAAATTTGGAGTATATGTGAAGGAAGAATACCAAGACCACCGCAAAGAAGAGAAATACGACGACAACCATCATGACCTTAGCCGTGATCGCAATCATACCTGAATCACCTAATTTACCACTTCCCATTTTCAGACAGCTCGATGGTCTTTTGAATTTGCAGTTTCTTTCTTTAAGAAAAAACAGAGGCTAGGATTAAGGAAAGATAACTAGTGAGAGTTAAACCTAGAATATCGGAAGCAAAATTTTGAAGTAAAACCCACCAAGTTTGAAATTTGAGAGTCGATCGAATAGATGAAACCCAATAACATGTAGAGAATTCAGCTAAGGAATTGTGGAGTATGATGTGAAAAGTGGGATGATTTGGAAAGAGGATTTAAAGGGGAAAAATGCAACTCTAGTTGAGTCAAAATAGAAGGTAAATGGGGGGGAGTTTAAAAGTAGAAAAAGCAAATAAGAGGATGAAAATGGAGTCTAAGCTTGACTGCGACAGTGGAGGGAGGGAAAAGAAGAGTCACCAAAAGACTCCCAACATGAGATTAGGGAGAAGAGTTTCAAATAAACAATTCTGGCCGCCTTCTTAACTTGTTGGGAAGTTTCTCATTTGACCATTTGTTAACTTAAATGGCGTAGACCCAAGGAATTTGAACATTCAGTGGAAAAAGATTATTCAAAATTTAAAATTTATATTTTTTTTATAGTACTAATTTCAAACGGAGGCCCATACTTTAATTGTATACTTGATCAAACTCCACGCACCGTCCCAAGAGGCATTCTAACCAAATTATATATATATGTTTGAGGGTCTTTGTAAAATATATATTTTCTCTGTCTCAATTTATGTGACTTACTTTTCTTTTTAGTCGATTTCAAAAAGAATGACACATTTCTATATTAAGTAATAATTTAATTATAAAATATCTATTTTATCCTTAATAAAATGATTTATAGCCACACAAATTTCTATAATTCATTTTAGACCACAGGTTTTAAAAGTCTTCCTTTTATTTCTTAAATTCCGTGTTGAGTCAAATTACCTCACATAAAATGGGACGGAGGGAGTATATGATAGTTGTTGATATTTGAAAGTGCGTAGTATTAAAGTGCATCTCTAATTCATCTCAAGTTATTTCACAATAATAATTAAATTTATGAATTATTTCACAATAAAAGTTAAATGAACTCATGGATAAAACTTTGAATCCGTCATTGGTCACACATTCAAATTCTCCCTGCTCCTCATATTCCGCATCAACATTAACTCATCTAACACATGATCCAGCCCATTTTATGCTAATAATAGTTAGCCCAATTAATAATATGTTCAAATAAAATCACTTAGACCATTTTTTTTTCAAATTTTAATTTAAATAAGTTTATTTTAGTTATTAATCATCAAAATATCACATGAATCAACAACACATGTTTTATAATTTATGTGGTCGTAAAGTCAAATGTGTTTTTTCTAAGAATGTTCAAAAGAAATCGATAAACCATAAATCATATCACATCGTAAAAATAAAAATCAGAAAAACCAACTATTGTTGGTCTGATTTGATTCATAAATCTTACAAACGTTAGTTTGTAAATAAAAAAATTAATCTAAATCACCTATGTCGGCCAATCTAAGTAATAGCAAAAACTTTTTTTCATTAGTTAAAAAATAGTTTTCCGGTTGAAGCGTTTTTGAAACTTTGATCAAGCATAAATTATTAACAAAAAAGTTTTTCAAATATTATTTTTAAAGAATATTTTTTCGAAAAGCACTTTTGACAAAAAAAAAAAACACTTGCTATAATCAATGTCACTTGACCAATGCTCATCTTTATCAAGATTCAAACAGCTTATGTTAATATTCGTTGTTTTCGGTCTTCTCCTACTGGTATCTACATCATACAGGCAACATTATCACTCAAAATGTAATCGGTAAGACCAAATTACCTTTGGTAAAACTGTACATTTTCATAAGAAATTATCTATACAGAGATTAATTCATTTCCTGTAAAAAAAAATAAAAAACAAATTACAATAATGATTGTCTGATATCTCCTGTTCTGTTGCTAATTTGTTTAGATCGGTCCATATTTATAAGGGAAACTATGACCTCACAAGTCACAACAAAGCGGATGGAGAAACCAATTCCAAATGTTATCCACAGCAGATATCAACGACGAAACAAAGCGATTTTTGGTAATGTTAGTAGGCACAGGAATTCTGCAAAGAGGGGAATCAATGTGTTAGTGAAAAATTACAAGATTACAATTGAAAATAGAACGAAGAAATAAAAATCTCTTCAGGCTGAGGCGCGGATATCTCACTCTCTTTAAAGAGATTCAAGCCCACTGTAACAAATGTTTTTCACCAGTCCAGCAGTACTTGTCCCCTCCAGAATACAACAGCCTAATCACAAGAGTTGAGTCCAAAGCTCCACAACCCTTCAACTAATAAGAACTCTCTTTTTGACAAACTTTATGCACTCTATATTTTTCTTGTGTGTATTAAACAAATGAAGACCACCACTATTAATAGTAGAAGAAGTCTTCCTAGCAATGAAATAGGAAGACAATAGGGTAGTAAATAGTGAAGATAAATGGCCTAAGAGTTACATAGGTTATAAGGTATAATGGAGAAATAAAAAGTGAAAATAAAGGAGAAGTAATGGCAATGGTTGACCAATTTCTGCCTCATCCATGTCCACATATGGTAAGCACCCAAACAAATATCGGCAAGACATGCATATTACACAATTGTTATCTTGTTATTGTGTAATGCTAGGCGATTACAAGCGACAACAATGACTTGACTGCACCTTTGTATGCAGTTAATATAGAAAATGCTGCGATCACTGTCGTCTCACTACTGCTTGATGATCGATGTGCTTGGAGAAACCATTAATTAATTTGATTTTCGATCGTTTTTTTAATTAATATGTGGTGATCTGCATGTGTTATATTTATAGTGCATGGTTTGAGGTTTTTTGTTTACAAAGGTTGTTGAATATAATTATAAATTGACTGACCAACATTATGGATTACTATGATTTTGCTTTTGACAAGTATATGAGAAAGGAGCTGAATATTTCGTGTTAGAATTGCGACATGAACAGCAGCAGGCACGAAACAACATGTATGTGCTGAATGGAAAGGTAAACAAAACATGGCAAGTCAGGTAGTATAACATTCTTGTCAAACAAAACACAAAATAGTTGGTTACGTGGCGGAGTGCACTCTATGTTGCAAAATATTCAAAATTAATGTTATAGTAAGTACAATATTTGAAAACTAAACTATATTCAAGATCTGATCTAGTAATTAATGAAATTCACATAATATTTTATACTTATAATTTTAATAAAAAGAAATAATTTTATAAAAGAAATTGCATTTCAACCATAAAAAACAAAAAAAAATATATTAGGTGATGAATATCAAGTACCTATTATTATAATAATAATGGAGGCGGTCAAGCTAATTCCCCAATTTTTTGTATCAAATTTTAAAAATCTCATAAAATAATTTTTTTTAATGATATAACTGTACATAATTATGAAATTTTAATTTGTAAAAAAAAGAAAACAAATTTAAACTAGTGAGAAATTAAGCAAATACAGTGTCGTGTTGTTTAGCCCAGGCATTCCATATTTGTAAGGGAAGCAATGACCTCAGAGCTAAGCGGATCAAGAAACCAATTCCAAATGTTATCCACAGCAGATATCAACGACGAAACGAAGCGATTTTTGGTACATGATCTCATAGAAATGTTAGCAGGCACTGGAATTCTGCAGAGAGGGCAAATTGAATTGATGTTTAGCCAAGAATCAATGCAATGAGTATGAAATTCATGTCCACATATGGTAAGCACTCGCCGGGATTCAGCCAAAGAAATATCGCCAAGGCATATTATACATGTCAAGTGATCATTTACACAATTGTTATCTTGTTTTTGTGTACTAATGCTATATTTAGAGGCGATTACAATCGACAACAATGCATCTTTGTGTGCAGTTATTATGGACATTATAGGAAATGCTGCAATCACTGCTACGGCTATCATCTCACTACTGCATGATGATGTGCTTGGAGAAACCACTTGTGCCATTAATTAATTTGTTTTTCGTTTTAATATGTGGTGATGTTTGATGTCTTCCCTGTTTTCCCCTGCATGTGTTATATTTATAGTGTATGGTTTGAGGTTCTTTGTTTAATTTACATGGTTGTTGAATATGATTTAATTGACTCTAAACAGCAACATTATCAATAAGGATTTTGGTTTTGACTTTTGACTACTGTCCTAAACGAATTAAGAAGGAAGAGCTGAATTCATGTTACAATTGTGGAATTCAAAATGAAATGGTATGAGTTTGAAGTTTTGATCAAAAGCAGCAGGCGTGCTGTGCAGGGCACGAAGTTGTGCTGAATGAAAAGGTAAACAACATTATGGTCAAATAATTTACATGAAAAAGAGGAGCCAAAAAATACACAAAGACAAAATAGTAGTAGTTACGTTGCAAAAATTGCAGCTGCCGTGTACAGATAAGTTTTAAGCTTATTGTCAAACAAGCGCTATTCTAGAGGCGCTTGACCAAAAGTTGATCAACATCATTTTTTAAATAATACAGTAATGTCGAAATCAATAGCGTGTTATAGTTACCTGCTACTATTTAATATAATTAAGGATTACATATTTGGAAATTGAGGTTATATTATCTACTCCCTTTGTCCCTAATTATTTATCCACTTTTCTTTTCTTAGTTGACCCTAATTATTTTGTCCATTTGGAAAAATGTACTATATACTAGGTATCATTCTATCTGCCTAAAAATCTTGGTGAATGAAGGAAGTTATTCATAATTTATATTAATGATAAATATAAGTATCCGTTAAAATAACAAAGGAGCAAGCTAACCCACAAATTTTTGTATCAAATTTAAAAGCTCATCAAATAATTTTATTAAATATATGAAAAAATTAGATAGGTAAGAAATGAAATGAAATGAAATAAAATAGTTGTCACACATATTGGAATTTATGCGTCAAATTTAAAAATCTTTGAAAATACCATTATCCAGCGGCCTGTGAACTTTTGGACAAACGAAAGTTGTGTGGCTATCGCTGTGTCACCAAAACCCAAACCCCTCTCTCTCTCCCGCTTCTCCCTTGCAACCGCCTTTGCCTTTCTCTGTTATCTTCTTCACTCCAACAACACTAAACCCCAAATAAAACAAGAAATTTCAATTCAGTACAGTTGCCCCTACCGACTAGTAGTTGGTGTATGGAATCTGAAAAACAACACATAGCATTCCGTTTCTCTTCTTGAATTTATGCGACTT